CCTCAGTCACATCAATGTCTCAACGGTTTCTTTCTTACAGTCTTTATTGTTGCTGTTTCATTTCTGCGTATTCCTTTCACAATTATCTGAGCTTGTATGGAAGCTAGCAGAAGAAATAAGCCTTCAATCGGCATCAAAGTGCTTCCAATCTTTTGGTCCTCCGGCCAACGGCAATAAAAGTAACGCCAAAAAATCCAGATTTTGCCCAAATCGAAACTTAACAGGAACAATATATCATTGATCTATAATCCTGAGAAGTTTTAGTGTCGTATTGAACCCGGCCAAGCGCGATGCAAACGGATTTTTCAAGATTCTCTTACTCTCCTCGCATCTTTTGATTTCGCGACATCCTGTCCAAAAATCAAAGTTTGGTGCATGCGCAGTAACGGGATACTGTTCCTTTAACGAGGGTAAAATTGGATCTGAGGGGAAACAAAACCTACTTACAGTTAGCGGGAGGTTCGAGTTACCGAGAGTAAAATTACAGTAAATGCATGACAGAAATCCAGGAGAAATCGATTTTGGTTCGAGTTAGCGCGAGGTTCGAGTTAGCGACGGTTCGAATTATCGGGAGTGCCTACAATTGTAGCCCCGATCCTTAGTTGTCGATCTGTAATTCTGATATGCATGCATTATATAGTCGATCGCGTGAAAGGTGGCACGTTTCCAATTCAAGGCCACTTAAGAAACGCTAGTGACAACAACAATATCAAGCATTAGACGACGTGTTTCATAAAAGAAAAAAATCTGTCATGCAGATCATTTAACCTCAACAAAGGTAAATAAGACCCTGTTTACATGGAGTGGGGGACCCCGGTCTTGTGGGGTAAGTTTCTTTTGTTTTGTGTCCCCCAGAGCGTGAAAACAAAAGAAACCAACCCCACTAGACCGGGGTCCCCCACTCCATGTAAACAGGCCCTATGACATTATCCAAAATAACAGTAACACAGCTAATGGTAAAAAGGACGTAAATTGAAAATGAGGTAAATGCTATGACTAGGGGGAGCGTTGCGTGTCATCCAAAAAACGCCGCAGCGAGGGAGACTACTCAAAAAGGGCCTTTGAAAAATGTAAGCCCCAGGGCTTATTTTCGGAATTTTACGGTAATCATGTCCAAGATTATACTTGGATGGGCGTAAGGTGATAAGATTTCAAATTGCGGGTGGAGCTTTGTCCGGATATGCTATTGTTTATTGTCAATAGCATGTATTGGATTCTTTGAGTTTCCATGGATGGGAGTCTTATTTTTTCCAAGAGATCTTGATAAGATGCACTCTAGCTTTGAAGATTGAATTCGAACCTCAAAGCGCTTTCGTTGACGTTCTCGATTTTAGCAGTTTCTTTCTCCACAGTGGTGCCAGAATTGCATGTTATGCATCACATTTGCTCGACTTGCTTGCCGCTGCTGCTTATCTCATAAATTTTGAATAGGATTCGACCACGACAACACTACTCTAGCTGATTGCTTGTTTTCAAGCGACGATTTTAATTGTTCAGTCATTTACGCATGGGGCACCGATAAAAGCAAAGCTGTGATTGGAGGAGTCAGAAAATGGGAGCTGAATTCTCATTGGCTAACCGCGGGAAAGGGCTGTGGTTCGATTCTCAGCAGACGTTTGTGGGGTCAAAGAGCGTTGCGTGACGACAATAAAAACAGCTGGGTAGCGGATTCGGTCAACACAAGAAGACACAAAG